TGTTTCAATTAATCATCTCTGACTCTTCTAAACTCAAGGACTCAGCTGTTTTTGCCACATCCTGAGATCCACAATCAGCGCCATGCTGTCACATACAGTCTCAATCTCTCTCCATCAGCACCACCTCACACTGGCTCAGAGCTGCAATGTCCCCCAATTCCACTTCATCATCCAGCTCACTCGACATGTTAAGAAATATTTTCTTTTTCTTTCAGGCATCAAGGAACACAAGATGTAACAACTCAGAGATACCCATGGCTCTCTGAACTATCCTCCACCTACCTTCCTTCTGACTTAATCCCCTCTCCCAACCCCACCTCCTGTTGTGTATTTACTATCCGATCTGAGCTTCTGCTCTCTGATGCTGAATGTTCTGTCCTTAGCAAAGGCCTTGGTTTAATCCCTCTGCACCCCCACATTAATGAATTTAGGGCACAACATGATTTTGGACTCTGCTTCCATTGCCTCCGCCTCGATGTCCATTTCTTTGGATAAGATTCCTCTCCCCATCCCACAGATCCCCTTCGCCCAGCTCCAAGACTCTTCCTCCACCTGGACCCCTCCCTCTGGCCTTCCACCTGCACTCGATCTGTTCATCAAGAACTGTCAATGTAATATTGGTTGCCTCAATTTCTCTGCTGCCCCATCCCTCACCACCACCATAAGAACTTGTCTCCCTCCAAACTGACTGCACTCCGTGCTCTCAGATCCAACCGTGACTTTGTAATTAAGCCTGCTGAAAAGGGTGGTGTTGTCTGGTGGACTGATGTTTCGATTACAGAGGCTGAGTGCCATCTCTCAGATACCACCTGCTATCTCCCCCTGGGCCACAACCCCATACATCAATCAGACTAACGCATCCACAACGGTCACTAACCTTATTTCATCTAGTGATCTCCCCTCAACTGTCTGCAAGCTCACAGTTCCCAAACCCCAAACAGTTCACTTGTACCTCCTTCCCAAAACGCAAACATGACTGTCCGAGCAGACCCATTGTTTCTGCATGTGCCTGCCCCACAGAACTCATCTCTTCCTACCTCAGCTCTGTTTTGTCTCCCCTTGTCCAGTCCTTTCCCACTCACATCTGCAATTTCTCTGACGCTTTATATCAGTTTCAGAATTTCCAGTTTACAGGCTCCAGCTACCTCCTCTTTACCATGAATGGGCAATGCCTTTACATGTCTATCCCCCATCAGGATGGTCTCAGGGCTCTCCGCTTCTTCCTGGAGCAAAGACCCGAACTGGTCCCACCCACCGCCACCCTTTTTCACCTGGTCAAGCTTGTCTTTCTCCTCAACAACTTCTCTTATGACTCTTCTCACTTTCTTCAGGTCAAAGGGATGGCTATGGATACCCAATAGGCCCTAGTTATGCCTGTCTCTTCGTGAGGTATGTGGGAAATTCCTTTTTCCAGTCCCATTCCGCCTCCACCCACAACCCATTCTCTGATATATCAATGATATCATCAGTGCTGCATCCTTGTCTTGTCTAGTCTAGAATTGGAAAAAGTTTATCAATTTCACTTCCAATTTCCACCCCGCTCTCACCTACACTTGGTCCATCTCCGACTCCTCCCTTCCCTTCCTCAACACCTCTGTTTCTATTTCTGGGGATAAGCTGGCCACCAATATCAACTGTAAACCCACCGACTCCCACAACTACCTGGACTATACGTCCTCACACCCTGCTTCCTGTGAAGACTCTATTCCAATCTCCCAGTTCCTTCATTTCCATTGCATCTGTTCTGATTATGCCAACTTCGATAAGGGGCCCTCCAAAATGTCCACCTTCTTCCTCAACCGAGGATTCCCCAGCACCGTAGTTCACAGCACCGTGAGGCCAGTCTGACCCTCTCCTGCACTTCAGCCTTCAACCCCTCTCTTCCGTCTTGCAACATCTATAGGGTCCTCCTTGTCCTCACCTACCATCCAACCAGTATCCACATCCAGAAGATCATCAGCCACCATTTCTGCCACCTCCAGTGGGATGCCACCTTCAGACACATATTCCATTCCCCTCCATTGTCAGCCTTCTTCACAGGCTGTTCCCTTCAGCACACCCTGGTTCATTCCACTTTCACTCCCAACATTCTCCCTAACAAATCACGTGACCCCCCCCCACCCTCGCCAAACAAACACACACACACAGCCATACAGCATCTTCCCCTGCAACACCAGAAGGTGTAACACTGCCCATTTACTTCCTCCCTCCCCAGTATCTAAGGACCCAAACACACCTTCCTGGTGAAGCAACACTTTACCTGCACTTCCCACAATCTAGTCTACTGCATTCGCTGCTCACAATGTGGTCTCCTCTACACTGGGGAAACAAAGTGTTGACTGAGTGACCACTTCACAGAACATCTACATTCTGGCTGCAAAAAGACCCGGAGCTTCCAGTTGCCTACTGCTTCAACACGACACCTTGTTCCCTGGCCAACATCTCTGTCTCAGGCTTGCTGCAGTGCTACTGCAAAGCTCAGTCCAAGCTGGAAGATCAGCACCTTATTTTCTGCTTGGGAGTTCTAAAGCCTTCTGCACTCAATATCGAGTTCAACAATTTTAGAGCTTGAGACACCTTCTCCCATGTCCCTAGCCCTACCCCACCACCCCACCCACACCAGGCCTTCCTACCAGAAGGGTCTGCGAGTACACTCTACCCATTGTTAACCACTAAGAGTCTGCATTAGCAGCCATTCATTTTTCTAGGCTGACCATTATCTACACCTTTGTCCAACTGTTCTTCTCTCTCTTTGGGCTCTGTCACCACCTATCGTTTATTCCTTACCCCCTCCCCCAACCCTACCTTCTGTATAAAAAGCCACATTTTCCTAGCTACCATCAATTCTGAAGAAGGGTCACTGAACCCGAAATGTTAACTCTGATGTCTCTCCACGGATACTGTCAGACCTGCTGATATTTTCCATCAATTTCTGTTTTTGTTCCAAAGGATTCAGGCCCAGCCTGTCTAGCCTTTCATATGGCAATCCACACATTCCAGATATTTGTCCAGTAATCCTGAACTGCTTCCAATGTATTAACGTCCTTTCTTAAGTACAATGACTAGTACTGTACACAGTACTACAGATGTAGTCTCACCGATGCTCTGTATAACTGAAGCAAAATCTCTCCACTCTTGCACTCGATTCCCCTTGCTATAAACTATAACATTCCATCAGCTTTCCTGATTATTTGCTGCATCTACCGACGTGATTGGAGCACTAGGACGACCAGATTTCTCTGCATATCACAACTCTGAGACCTCTCATTTAGATAATATACTTCTTTATTATTCTATCTGCCAAAATTCACAATTTCACTTTTTCCCATTTGGACCCCATTTGTGAGATGGTTGCCCACTCACTTAATCTATGTATATCCCTTTGTAATCCTGAATGTCCTCTTCACAATGCACTTTCCTACCTTTTTTTTATGTCATCAGCAATTTTAGCTGCCACACCTTCAGTCATTAAATCCAAATCATTTATATAAAATTGTAAAGAGGAGTATTGGTCCCTGTGATACACCATTCATGATATCCTGCAAACCTGAAAGAGGCCAATTTATTCCAATTGTTTGCTTCCTGTTAGCCAGCTAATGTTCTGTCCTTGCCAATGTAACTTTTCTACAGCAGAAGCTTTTAATTTGCACAATAACCTTTGATGTGGCACATTATCAAATGCCTTCTGGAAATTTGAATACAACCACTAGCTCCCTTTTAATCACAAGTTACTTCTTCAAAGAACTCTAATAAATTAGTTAAACGTTTTTCCTTTGACAAAACCATGCTGGCTCTGCCTGATTATCTTGAATTTATCTAAAATGCCATTATATTACTTTTAACATTTTCCCTATGACCAAGGTTAAGCTAACTAGCCTGTTGCCTGCTCTGACACCCTATCTTTAGAACAAAAGTTACTGTAGCTATTTTCTAGTGTAAAGCAACCTTCCCCAAATCTATTGGGTTTTGGAAAATTAAAGCAGCACATCAACCACCTCAAAACCTGCTTCTTTTAAGGATGACATCTGTCAGGACCCAGGGACTTGTCAACCCACAGTTCTAAAAATTTACTCAGTAGCAGGCCAGGGTGGCATGGTGGCTCAATGGTTAACGCTGCTGCCTCACAGCACCAGGGACCTGTGTTCGATTCCACCCTCAAATGACGGTGTGGAGTTTGCACGTTCTCCTTGTGTCCGTGTGGGTTTCCTCCGGGTGCTCCAGTTTCCTCCCACAGTCCAAAGATGTGCACGTTAGGTGGATGGGCCATGGTAAATACCTGTAGTGTTCAGGGATGTGTAGATTAGGTGCATTGGCCATGGGAAATGCAGGGTTATAGGGTGGGATGCTCTTCGGAGGGTCGGTGTGGACTCGATGGGCCGAATGACCTGCTTCCACACTATAGGGATTCTACGAAAGAGGACTTTTCACCGGTTGTGAGCAATCACTTCATGCGCACCTGACGGTTATCACTGTTCTTCACTTTGTTCCTACCCCTTTCCCTGCTAACTGTAATTTTCAGCTGTTCCACCCTCCCTTTCAAATCCGGACTTCCAGGAGGAATGGTTTCTAACCCCGTGCTGTCCTCGCCCTGAAAAACTGAAAACGTTTCAGTCTATAGTAAAGTAACCGGTGCTCAAAAGCGAACAAATGTAGTTACTTGTGCCTCCTGACTCTTAAACAAGATTAAATATGCTGCAGGAATCAACTCCCACCTCGACACAGGGACTCAGTCAATACGACTTTCCTCCAGTATCCCAGAGTGCTTCACCATTCCAGCCAATCAGAGCCCGGAGTTCGGCAGGTGGTCTTCCAGTATCCCAGAGTGCTTCACCATTCCAGCCAATCAGAGCCCGGAGTTCGGCGGGTGGTCTTCCAGTATCCCAGAGTCCTTCACCACGTCGGCCAATCGGAGACCGGAATTTGGAAGGTAGTCCACCATCATCACGACACCAGCCAATCAGAGCCTGGAGCCTGAGGCGTGGTCCTCCAGTATCCCAGAGGCCTTCAAAGTTCCAGCCAATCGAAGTGGAGAGCGCGGCCGCATGGTGGCCTAGAGAGAGGTTTTTTTGTTGTTTCTGAGGAATTCGGTTCCTGTCCTTATCGGAGATTCGCCCGCGCCTGGGGGAATCGAGGGGCTAATTCCCGGAGTCGGGCGGCATCAGCCAGCGACCATGGTAAGGGGGCCGCGGGCTCGGGCCCGAGCTGAATTTCTGTAGCGCCCTTCACCGACCTCCCGGTTGCGCCTCAGGAAACACGGTCACGCGTCCACAGCAAGATCTTACATCGACCACCTGATGTGGACTGAGGGATACATACTCAGTATGTGGGAACCTGTGTGATCTCCCCTGTCCTTCACCCTGTACTGTGGGGGGCCTTTAAACCCACCTGGGACTGGCGGACAGTGTCCCAGTCTAACTCTATCTGAAGGACTGCGCCTCCGACAGTGCAGTGCTCCGGGTTGTGCCCGCGTTGGATACTGGGCTCACGCCTTGGAGTGGTACTTGCCCCTGAGGGAGAAGGTTGTAGGGTCATGGGTGCTGCCTGTCAAGCAATACCAGAGAGTATTCCGATTGGTGCGTGACAGATCGTTGAGGTTGAATCGAGAGTCCTGCAAACTTCATCCAAAATCACCATTTACATGAGATGTAGAAGCAGATTTAAGCAATTTCGCCCAATGAATCTGATTGTGGCTGATCTGTTTCTCAACCCAACCTCTCGCCTCCTCCCTGTAACCCTTGATCCCCTTACTAATCAAGAACTTTTCTACCCCTGTCTTAAGTACACTCAATGACTTGAAATGAGTTACACACATTAACCGCAGAAGGTTGAAGAAATCTTAACTTTAAAGAACTATCACTTCACTCTTGAGACTGTGTCCTCAGGTCCTAGTCTGTCCTAGTGGAAACATCTTCACCAGGTGCATTCTGTCCAAGCCTCTCAGTGTTCTGTAAATTTCAATGAAAATTATGCCCCACATTTTTCCAACTCCACTGAGTACAGATCCAGAATCTCCAACCCCTCCTCATATGGCAAGCCCTTCATTGCTGGGATTATTCTTGTAAACCTCCTCTGTATCCCCTCCAAGGTTAACACAACCCCCCTTAGATACTAGGCCGAAAACTGCTCTCAAAATTCCAAATGCGGTCTGACTACCGCCGTATACAGCTCGGCAGTACATTTCTGCTCTTGTATTGTAGCCCTTTTGAAATGGATGTTATCATTGTATTTGCCTTTTTATCTGCCAACTAAACTTGCATGTTTAGGGGTGGCACGGTGGCTCAGTGGTTAGCACTGTTGCGTCACAGCGCCAGGGACCCGGATTCAATTCCACTGTAGGGCGATTGTCTGTGTGGAGTTTGCACATTCTCCCGGTGTCTGCGTGGGTTTCCTCCGGGTGCTCCGGTTTCCTCCCACAGTCCAAAGATGTCCAGGCAAGGTGGATTGGCTATGCTAAATTGTCCATAGTGTTCAGGGATGTGTAGATTATGTGGGTTATAGGAGGATGGGTCTGGGTGGGATGTCTGAGGGTCGGTGTGGACTTGTTGGGCCGAAGGGCCATTTTCCACACTGCAGGGATTCTGTATGTTAAGGTTAAGAGAATCCTGAACGAGGACTGCTAAGTCTCTTTGTGCTTCAGATTTCATGAATTCCATCTGCGATTTCTTTGTCCACTCTCCTAGACAAATCCTTCTGCAGCCTCCTTGCCACCTCAACACTACCTGCCCCACCACCTATATTTTTGTCATCTGCAAACATAGTAACTTGTCAGTTTGGGCTGACGAGTGGCAAGTGACATTCGCACCACACAAATAACGTCTCAAGAGCAACTAAGAATGGGCAAGAAATGCTGGCCAGCCAGCGATGCCCGCATCCCACAAATGAATAGAAAACAAAATGTCCTCAGTTTCTTCGTCTAGCTTGTTAAAGTATAACATGAATAGCAGTTGTTCCAACTCGCACCCCTGAGGAACTCTACTAGTGACTGGCAGCTATCCTAGTAAAGACTCATTGTCCCAGTTTTCTGCCTTCTGCTGGTAAGCCAATCCTCTATTCATGTCAGTACCTTTTCCCTCAACCCCACGGGCTCTTGTGTAATTCAGCAGCCTCCTGTGCTGCACCTTGTCAAAGGCCTTCTGGAAATCCAAATAGATCATGTCCACTGGCTCTACCTTATCTAACTTGCTCATTACCTTAAAAAATTCTAACAGATTTGTCAAGCATGATCTCCCCTCGACAAAGCCAAACTGACTCAGCCTCAAGTTGCAATGCACTTCTAAGTATTCCACAATCTCATCCTTAACAATGGACTCCAAATCATACCAGTGAGTGAGGTCAGGCTAACCAGCCTGTAGTTTTCTGTTTTCTGTCTCCCTCCATCCTTAAACAGGGGTGTTACATTAACCATTTTCTAGTCCTGTGAAACTTTCCCTGACTCCAGTGATTTCTGAAAGATCACCTCCAATGCCTCTACAGTCTCCTCAGTTATCTCCATCAGTTGTTTGGGGTGTAGTCCATCTGGGCTTGGTGATTTATCCACCGTCAGACCTTTTAGGTTCCCCAGCACTTTCTCCTTAGTGATGGCAACTACCTCTGTCCCCGGCTCGAAGTTCTGGTATGCTGCTGGTGTCTTCCACTGCGAAAACTGATGCAAAGTCTCCATTCAGTTCCTCTGCCATTTCTTGTTCCCCAATATTACTACTGCAGTCACATTTTCCAGCAGTCCAGTGTCCATTCTTGCCACTGTCTTACCTTTTAGGTACTTTTAAAAAAAAATTTGTTCCAATCTTCTTTTATATTACTTGCTAGCTTACTCTCATATTTCATCTTCTCTCCTCCATTCCCCCCCAACATTTTTTTAAAATTGACCTCTGTGAGTTTTTAAAGGCTCCCCAATCCTTGGGCTCACCACTAATCTTCACCACATTATATGCATTTATTTTTGCTTTTATACTGTCCCTGATGTCCCTTGTCAGCCATGGTTGTTTCCCTTTGGTGTGTTTCTTTGGATGAATTCCTGTTTTGCCCCTTTAATTACCCCCAGAAACTCCTACCATTGCTGCTTCCCCCATCTTCCTGGTAGGCTTCCCTTCTAATTAATTCTGGCCAGCTCCTCCCTCATGTCTTTGTAGTTACCTTTACTCAATTGTAATATGTTACATCTGATTCCAGCCTATCCCTCTCAAACTACAGGGTGAATACTATAATGTCATGGTCACTGTCCCCAAGGAGTTCCTTCATCCTAGGCTCCCTAATCAAGTCTGCCTCATTACACATCACTAAATCCAGAATTGCCTGTTCCCTAGTGGGCTCCACCACAAGCTGCTCCAAAAAAAATCTCGCAGACATTCCACCAATTCGTTCTCTAGGGATTCGCTACCAGCCTGACTTTCCCAGTCCACCTGTATATTGAAGTCCCTCATGGTGATTGTAATAGTGCCTTTCTTAACTGCCTTTTCTATCCCCTAATTTACTTCCTTACCCACATCCTGACTACTGCTAGGAGGCCAAACCCAACTCCCAGTACGGTTTTTTTCCCCATTGCGCTTCCTCAAGTCTACACAGACACATTCTGTGTCATCCAACTTCTTGCAATTTGTTTAATTCCAAATCTTACCAACAAAGCAACCCTGACCCCTCAGCCCATCTGCCTGTCATAAAGTCATGCAGCACGGAAACAGACCCTTCGGTCCAACCAGTCCATGCCAAATATAATCTCAAACTAAACTAGTCCTACCTGCCTGCTCCTGGCTCGTATCCGTCCAAATCTTTCCTATTCATGTACTTATCCAAATGTGTTTTAAATGTTGTCATTGTAACCCTATCCACCACTATCCCAGGAAGTTCATTCCACAAGCAAACTACCCCTTGTGTAAAAACTTTGCCCCTCATGTCTTTTTTAAATATCTGTCCTCTCACCTTAAAAATGTGTTCCCTAGTCTTGAAAACCCCCATTCTAGGGAAAAGACAGCTACCATCAATTCTATCTGTACCTCTCATTATTTTATAACCTTCTATAAGGTCGCCTCTCAACCTCCAACGTTCCAGTGAAAAACGGCCAGATTCTGTGTAGAGAGATAGTAGGAACTGCAGATGCTGGAGAATCTGAGATAACAAGGTGTAGAGCTGGATGAACACAGCAGGCCAAGCAGCATCAGAGGAGCAGGAAGGCTGACGTTTCGGGCCTAGACCCTTCTTCAGAAACATTTCTGAAGAAGGGTCTAGGCCCGAAATGTCAGATTCTGTGTAGTATCTTCAGTGTAATCCTTCCTTTCTCCATAACTGAAACCCTCTCCTTCCGAAAGGATGTCTATCCTTGGGTATTTAGTTCCCGATCCTGATGCCCTGGCAGTCGCGTTCTCTGTGATATCCACAACATTGTACCTGCCAATTTCAATCTGTGCTGCAAGTTCACTTGCCTTGTTTCATAGACTGCGTGTATTTAATGTGTCCTGCATTACTTCCTTTCTTATAATTGTCCCCATTTCTGCTGTGCCTGAAGTTCAATTCCTGACCCTTTCCACACTCTCTGTCCTATTACTTCTTCCCCCTTTAACCTTTTCTATAATTTACCATGCTGACAATCTGAAATGAAGTAGAATGGGAGCAGACTGTTGTGGATCGAAGTGCACGTAGACCAGTTGGGCTGAATGGCCAGATTCTGTGCTGTATCTTCGGTGTAATTCTCCCTTTCCGAGGTCTTGACATTTTTATCATGGTGAGATATGACTGTCATTGGGTTTATAAACACACTAAGATCAGTCTGTGTGAAGCTGACATGTGCTGATGGAGTTATTCCTCTGCTGTCTGAATGTACTCGGATCACTGTGTTATTTGTGTGCTATAATCCCTTCTCCTGTTTTGTTCTTCAGCCTCACCGGAAGAAGAAGCCCTTCATTCAGAAGAAATCAGCGGTGACATTTCACCTGGTGCACAGAAGCCAAAAGGATCCACTGGTTGCAGACGAGAACGCCCCCCAGAGAGTACTGCTACCAGCAGAGGTGATTTGCTTTGACGTATAGTCACGAGCTGTGTATGAACGTGATAGGGCTCAGCACAGGATGGAAGCAGCTTCCTAATGAATTGACCTTAAGTTTTGATCTTTGGATCCAGATAGGAACATATGAGATAACTGACCCCCTCAAATCTGCTCCATCATTGAGTTAGAATATTGTTGATCTATGCCTCAACTCCTTTCAGCCATGTTTAGTTCAGAGTGATCATGGAATATGGTTTGTTCACCTGACAGGGCTTGCTTTAACAGAGATAGCAAGAACTGCCGATGCTGGAGTCACAGACAGCACAGTGTGGAGCTGGAGGAGCAGAGCAGGCCAGGCAGGATCAGAGGAGCAGGAAAGTTGACGCTTCAGGTCAGAAACGAAGAAGGGTGCTGACCCGAAACGTCAACTTTCCTGTTCCTCTGAGGGCTTGCATTAACGTTAGCTGTGAGAGAAAGAATGTCTGACAGGGCAACACTCCCTTTGTACTGCATTAAAGTGTTAGTCTGCATCATGGGCTCAAGCGTCTGGAGTCCTGACTCTGAAGTGTTACCTGCTGAGCCTCTGTTGATCTGGGAAGGGACCCACAGTTCTTATGAGCTGGTTGAACATAAATAGCATGAGTCAACATAAAATCCGCAATCAGTATAAAAGTTTTAACTCCTTTCTTGCAGAGAGCAGATATACAAAAGAGGAAGGAAGAGGAGAGGAAATATGGCGTCTTCTTTGATGATACTTATGACTACCTGCAGCATCTGAAAGAGGCATCTCCAGTTGCTGAGCTTGTGGCCTCTAGCGTATCCCAGAAGGACTGCCGAGACACCATAACCACGGGAGATGGAGACGTCCAGGAGGAGGTGCAACAGATTCCCGTAAGGGCTATGTAGGCATAGCTATGAGAAACATAGGCCAAATCAGTGATTTGGAGGGGATGTGAAATGGAAACAGAAAATGTACTACCCCAACAGATTTGGAGGGTGTGAGGAAGAGATGCAAACACCCTCAATCTCCCCTGTCCCCTAATGGGTATATCTGTGCTCGTTGAAGATTTATTTGATTGGTTTCAGATATGTTGGAGTCATTCTCTGGATCTGATTGGCACTGACAAGGCTGGCATGTATTGCCTGCGTGGTGTTGCCCTGATAAGATGGTGATGGGTCATCTTGCACCAATGCTGAATGTGTGTAGTGTAGGTGGGAGAGACTATCCCTCCCCCTCCCCCCGCCCCGCCACTGTGTCTCCTCTCTCTCACCCTCTCTGTCCCTTCTCCTTCACACCCTCTGTCTCCTCCTCCTTCACCCTCTGTCTCCTCCTCCCTCACCCTCTCTCACTCTTCCCTCCTCCCCCTCTCAGCCCCTTCTCCCCTATGAACCCTCACTCCCTGCCCCTCGCTCACCGCCCACCCCGCCACCCCCCCCGCCCACCAATCCCTCCACTTTGCACATTGGATATTTCTTGTCCCTATTGTTGGAGACTGACCGCAAACCTGTGACGTTTTTGATTTCAGGTTCACTCCATTAATCTGCCATCATCAGTTTTTGCTTCAGAGTTTGAAGAGGAAACTGGATTGCTGAACAAAGCAGCCCCTGTACGAGGTAACACTGAGTACCCTGTTCACACAGATTCTGTCAGTAATCCGTTGCGTCCACCTGGGCTTTGTCCTTTAGTCCCAAGAGTAGGACTTGAACCTATGATCTCCTGGCTCAGAAATGTTAACCTGCGAGGGAAGTTCACTGTCATGAACAGGGCGGGCAATGGATAAAGGCGGGGAGCAATAATTTCAGTATTCCTGTCTTGAAGTAACTCCCACCATACCAGTTGCGTGTGTTGTATGGTGAATTACAATGTTTCATAATATCACAATATGTATCAAAGTCCTATGCTGAACACAAAGCAGAGCAGCGAGCTTGACATCAAAACTTGTTCAGAACATTAAAGGTGTGTTTGCATTTGCCCTCAGGACCTCGCCTAGACCTCGATCCGGATATTGTCGCTGCTCTCGATGATGATTTTGATTTTGACGATCCAGACAACATTTTGGACGATGACTTTGTGGTGAAGGCTGTTGGGAGAGGGAGTGCAGAGAATGCTGAAGTGTACGTGATTTAAAACCTGGGGAAGGGGGAGAATTAGCGTGCTGTGGAGAGACAGAGAGGAGGGGTTAGGAGCTGGAAGGTGCAGATGTAGTTGTGGATAGATGGGCAAGGCACTAATCCTTCTCCATGGTAGAGAAATTGGCTGGAAGAGGCAGAAAGCTGGATCAAAATCCAAGCCCAACAAGTTGGCAAAATCTGGCAATATCTTCCCTGAACTCTTGATCAATTGAAATTAGTACCAAAGACTACCCTGGGCCTAAATAACATAAACAGCAATTGAGTGAATCGTTACTAGCTGCACAAGCTGTAAGATTGTTCCAGTTTTCAGTCCTAACATCAAGCTTTACCTTGCACTTAAATAAACTGTTTGGCTTTCTGATGTATAAAGTCAATGTAACCCTTCCACAAGTTTTAAGCTGTGATGGTTTCATTGCTTGGTTGTGATACAACTGTTTGCACAACTACCGGTAGGCATTTTATCTTGTCACTCTATAGCAGTGTCCTGCCAGTCTAATTATCCTGGACTTCCTGTTTGTGTTTTCCTTGTTTCTTTCCCAGCCCCTGAACCTTGTTCAGACACAACACTATCTCTCTCCCTGTCACCACACAATCTTGGCAGTGAGCGCAGAAAATAAGCAATAGGAGTCAGAGTGAATTCGGCCCTTCAAGGCTGCCCTGCTATTCTGTAATCATAAATGATCTGGAGGAAGATATAGATGGCCTGATTAGCAAGTTTGCAGATGACACTAAGATTGGTGGAGTAGCAGATAGTGAAGGGGACTGTCGGAGAATGCAGCAGAATATAGATAGATTGTAGAGTTGGGCGGAGCAATGGCAAATTCAGTCCAGGCAAATGTGAGGTAATACATTTTGGAAGATCCAATTCAAGAGCGAACTATATGGTAAATGGAAAAGCCCTGGGGAAAATTGATGCACAGAGAGATCTGGGTGTTCAGGTCCATTGTACCCTGAAGGTGGCAACGCAGGTCGATAGAGTGGTCAAGAAGGCATACGATTTCATTCATCGAATGGGGTATTGAGTACAAGAGTTGGCAGGTCATGTTACAGTTGTATAGGACTTTGGTTCGACCACATTTGGAATACTGTGTACAGTTCTGGTCTCCACATTACCAAAAAGATGTGGATGCTTTGAAGAGGGTGCAGAAGAGGTTCACCAGGATGTTGCCTGGTATGGAGGGCGCTAGCTATGAAGAGAGGTTGAGTAGATTAGGATTATTTACATTAGAAAGACGGAGGTTGAGGGGGGCACCTGATTGAGGTCTACAAAATCATGAGAGGTATAGACAGGGTGGATAGCAAGAAGCTTTTTCCCCCAGAGTGGGGGACTCAATTACTAGGGGTCACGATTTCAAGGTGAGAGGGGAAAAGTTCTTTACGCAGAGGGTGGTAGGTGCCTGGAACGCGTTGCCAGCGGAGGTGCTAGAGGCGGGCACGATAATTTAAGATGTATCTAGACAGATACATGAATGGGCAGGGAGCAGAGGGATACAGATCCTTGGAAAATAGGCGAGAAGTTTAGATAGAGGATCTGGATCGGCGCAGGCTTGGAGGGCCGAATGGCCTGTTCCTGTGCTGTAATTTTCTTTGTTCTTTGTAAGACTGTGGCTGATTTACCGCAGGCCTCAATTCCGCTTTCAAGCCAGCTCCTTTAGAATGGGGCGCAAGCTCTTAAGTTGGACACTGTCAGTTTCATTTGGATACGCTGCAACAGTCTGGTGACCTGAACCTAACATCTCCTTGCTGGGGCCGAATGATCTCTTGTTGCAGCAGCTAAAGCGAGGGCCCCATTTTTCTACACTCCCCCACCATCACCATCACCACTATCCCACTGATGTTAACATAGACACTGAATGGCCCTGTGGTACTGTTTTAGAAGGATAGCGAGACATTCTCCTGGATTTCTCCTGCAACACTCCTCTTTTCAACCAACTGCACCTGACCTTTACTGGTAATTTATCTCATTCATTCTCTGAGGGATCTTGCTGTACCCAAATGAACTGGTACCTTTGTCTACTTGTCACTTCTGCAGTAATGATGATGCTCCTGACACTTTTTCTTTGTCTGTAAAATGCTTCCATTTGGAACCAAACAAATAGTTTGTTGGTGTGTTCTTTAGGGATTCCGATGAGGAGGAGTGGGAGGATATAGAGGATGAAGACTTCGACTCAGCTGGTGCCCTCTCTGATGATGATGATGATGATGATGGCTCAAAGATTATTAATTTTGAAGGCAGGGTGAGGGAGTTCCCCTTCATGGAGGAGGAAACCAGGAGTTGCTTCACTGCCTACTCCATGACATCGTCTGTGATGAGACGAAACGAGCAGCTCACCCTGTTGGACGACCGGTTTGAGAAGGTCGGTTTACGTTGTGAGGTACCAGACCAATAAACAGGACAAAATTTACGCTGTCCATCATGGATAGCACACTCACCTCTGAGTCACATATTCAAATCCCACTTGACCGTCCAGTTCAGTGCACTGTCAGAGCTGCCATTAAATAGAGAGCAGGTCTGTTTGTTCTGGTGGATGTAAGAAATACCAAAGCCACTGTTGTAAGAAGAGCAGGGAGTTTCTCCTACCCAATACTTATCCCTCCATCAGCATCACAAAAAGAAATGGGTTGCCTGGATACTATCATTGTGCTGGTTGAGAGATTCTACTGTGTACAAATTGGCTGCTTTGTTTCTTACATTGCAACAGTGACTACCTTTCAAACGTTCTTCATTAATTATGAAAAGTGCTTTTTTTTTCTTAAATTTCCTTTCTCTCTTTTCACAGCCTCTTTCTTTTTCTCCCACGCTCTATTGGTTTTCTCTCCTGTGCAGGAACCAATGGGAGAGGTGGTGATACTCAGCTGATAATGTAGAAACACTACGTTAAACCCCTCCCTCCTTGAAGGTGTTGAAAGTAGATGGATCCCTGCAGATGTTGCTCTGTTTCTCTATAATGCTGTTTCTCTGTCTGCTTCAGCTGTACGAAGAGTATGACGATGATGAGATCGGAGCTCTGGATCATCATGAACTCGAGGGTCCAATTCAGGTGGACAGCGCACGACTGGATGACGTTATCAGTGATTACCACATGCAGAAAGCAAAAGAGTGAGTGGCTTTAAAGTGTAAATCACAATGACTGTGCATGTGTGACCATTTGGCCAGTGAAATCTCTTTTTAAATAACAGTCTTACGAGTTGCCCTTCCCTAATGATTCCCTATAGTTCTATAACTTTTTTGTTGCATTTATGCAATATCCATTCGAAAATTATTGTTGAATCTGCTTCCACTAGGTTTTCAGGAAGCTGATTGTTGACCTTAAACATTCAAATCGGAAAACAGTTCTCCCTATCACTGCATTCCCCCTCAGCTAGCACCACCACCATCATAGCTCCCTCCCAAACCCTGGTTATTTTTCTAATTCTCTTAAGCCTGTGACCTCTGGTTACTCTCCCTCCTGATAGCTTTGAATCCTGCTGTTCAATCCCATGTGAATCCTATCTGCTTGAAGCAGTTAACTCCAGTTTCCTCACAGCAATTGAAATCACTTATCCCTGTTGTCAATCTCATAAAATATGCACCTTTGATAAACCCAACAATATGTTTGTGTTAAATGGGATGACTGCATCAGTTAGACCACTTTTGGAATACTGCGTGCAGTTCTGGTCTCCCTGCTGTAGGAAAGGTGTTGTGAAACTTGAAAGAGTCCGGGAAAGATTTACAAGGATGTTGCCAGGGTTGGAGGGTTTGAGCTAAAGGGAGAGGCTGAATAGGCTGGCGCTGTTTTCCCTGGAGCAATCCGAGGCTGAGGGGAGACCTTATGGAGATTTATAAAATCATGAGGGGGCATGGATAGGGTGAATAGACAAGGACTTTTCCCTGGAGTGAGGGAGTCCAAAACTAGAGGGCATAGGTTTGAGGAGAGAGGGAAAAGATTTAAAAGGGACCTCAGGGTAACTTTTTCAAGCAGAGGGTGATGTGTGTATGGAATAAGCTGTCAAAAGAAGTAGTAGAGGCTGGTACAATTTCAACATTTAAAAGGTATCTGGATGGGTACGTGAATAGAAAAGGTTTAAAGGGATATGTGCCAAATGTTGCTGCCAAATGGGACTAGATTTATTTAGGATATCTGGTCGGTATGGATGAGTTGGAATGAAGGGTCTGTTTGTGTGCTGTACAACTCTATGACTGTATGGAGATACAGACTTCTTTTATTATCTTGAAATGGGAGTGTGGAACTGTGTTGTTTTAATTGACTTCTTTCAACTTCTTTCAATCCCACCTGCAGCTGTCAAATGCCCGATGACCTGGGGCCAAGGGGCAATGTTCTGTTAAAGGGAGATGAAGAAGAGGAAAACGAGGAGATTGAAGTTCTTGTCCTTGAGGAACCAACTGAGCAATGGGACTGTGAATCCATCCTCAGTAAGTACTGGCTGTTAGGTGGCTCTCTGTGCCATCAACATCTTCTACTCTCTTTTGTTGCTTAGGAGTGATACACTCGCGTCTTGTCAGGTTATTCCTGAAAGGTGAGCAACAGATCCAGACTGATGCTCCCAGAGCGATACTGAGGGAGTGCTGCACCTTTGGAGGTGCTGTTTTTCTGATGTGACATTGGGAGGGGTCTACTCCCCCAGGCAGATGTAAAAGGTCTCAATGGCACAGTATGGAAGAAGGATAAGAAGGTTCTTGCTGAAGCCTGACTAACATTTACTTTTCAATCAATATCACTATGACCAAGCTGATAATTGGTACAGTTTGTGAATGTGCTCAAGTTCTGTATCCATCCCAGTATGGGAGGCTAAACTGGTGGAATTGTCATGATATATTTGCTCAGATCCTCAGTTTGAATCTTTTGTTTTTACAGGCACCTATTCAAATTTATACAACCACCCGAAGCTGATAACTGACCCACCTAAGGTAAGCACAGTGGCTGCTGCTGGAAGTGTTTGCGACTCGGTTCCTACTTCTCGATAAAGTTAGGGTACTGGGAAGGAGCTGATGTTTACCCTTCGATACTGGCTTTCCTTACCCGCTGAGACTGCGGGCTGGGAGGTTTGTCTAGCATGGGCAGAGTGGGCCAAGGCTGGAGCACAACGAAGATTAGCTTCGTCTCCCTATTCATCTGAACTACATCTTGGACTTCAGTTCTGGATGAACAAAATGCAGAGGCCAAGAGTTCAAATCCTGTCATGATGGACTGTGAAAGTGAACAAAACAATTTAGTGATTTCTTTGAGCTGGTTCCAGTCAAATTGGACCCAGCTATTATTGTTCAAACCTGGGCTGGTTCAGTAATGTCCTTCACGGAAGGGAACTTGTAGTGCTTGCATGTGGTCTTTTTTTTTTTCCTGTATTCATTCACGGGATGAGGGCGTTACTGGCCAGGCAGCATTTATTGCCCATCCCTAATTGCTCAGTGGGCAGTTGAGAGTCAACCACATTGCTGTGAGTCTGGAGTCACATGTAGGCCAGACCATGTAAGGATGACAGTTTCCTTCCCTAAAGGGCATTAGTGAACCAGATGGGTTTTTTTTCAACAACCGACAATGGACTCACAGTCATCATTAGATTCTTAATTCCAGATTATTTTATTGAATTCAAATTCCACCATCTGCTGTGGTGGGATTTGAACCTGGATCCCCAGAACACTGTGTGGGTCTCTGAATTAATAGTCCAGCGATAATACCACTAGGCCATCGCCTCTCCATGTGGTTACCGTGTTTGGGGTACTTCAGACTTTGGGTTATGAGGTAGAATGGATGAAATCTGTGAATTGGAGAGTTATGTATAACAGGCAGCTGAGTCAGTATCGATCACTCGCCAGTATTGGGCAGAGTCTGAATCCACTTCCCAATGACCTTTGCTGCTGTTTGTGCAGCCTGCTCCCATCCAAATCACAGAAGATCAACGACATTCTAGGTGGTCCCTCTCTTCCCAACCTCCAGTCGTGTATCTCTCTCTAAGAGACCTCTCCGACTGTAGGGTGAGGACAGTAGAGTTTCACCCCAGCTGGATAACAGCTGAATTCATGGAACCCATGCTGGTGGCATTCCACGGTTTGATCTTGGAGCATGTTTAAAAGGGGTTTCCCCCAAGGTCCACATTCTCATCACTCTTGAAGCAGAGCGATTCTCCCCTGAAATTTGCTGTTGGACTTATTAATGATCACTCGTATTTATCGTCCAAGTTCTGCTGGAGCTGCTCATCTATGATGCAATGTAATGTAGTAAACACTCCATAACATTCTCATCATTGTATGTGCGTGACATTTTGGAAAGGCATCTTGTTTACCTGTTCATTTGGGCACTTGCTGCTGTTGGTCGGTTTGTCACTCTGCAGCTGGTGGCTGAACTTTTGGTTGCCTTGGTCCAAGATTCTGAAATTCCCTCCCAAAACCTCTCAGCCTCTCTACCTTACAGTCCTACCACTTTGGCCAGGCTTTTGAGCATCTGTCTTCATCTCTCGTTGTGTGACACAAAGACAGATTTTGCCAAACAATGCTCCAGTGAATTTCTGAAGAAGGGTCTAGGCCCGAAACGTCAGCTTTCCTGCTCCTCTGCTGCTGCTTGGCCTGCTGTGTTCATCCAGCTCTACACCTGGTCTCCAGTGAAGTGCTGTGGGACATTTTTAAAGGGGAGAGAGTGGCATGGTGATAAAAGGCTGTGGGGACAGGGGTTCAAATCCCGCAGCAGCTGATTAAATTTGAATTAAATTAATATCTCTAGAGTTGAAAGCTAGTCTCGGTAATGGTGACTCGATTGGTGTAGAAACCCACATCGTTCTCTAATGTCCTTTCTCGGTTTGGCCTTCATGTGACTCCAGACTTATAGCAACGTGATTGCAACGTCCCCTCTACATTGGGGAAACGATGCGTAGACTTGGCGACCACTTCGCAGAACATCTACGTTCTGCTCACAAAAAAGACCCTGAACTACCTGTTGCCTGCCACTTCAATGCACCACCTTGCTCCCTGGCCAACATCTCTGTCTCCAGCTAGCTACAGTGTTCCAGTGAAGCCTAGCGCAAGCTGGAGGAACAGCACCTCATTTTCCGCTTGGGGTCCCTACAGCCCTCCAGACTCAATATTGAGTTCAATAATTTTAAGGCCTAAACTCTCCCATATCCCAGCAACCCACCCCACACACCAGGCCTTGTTACCACATAGCCTGCCATTACACACCCCCTGCTGTTAGTGACTAACAGTCCCCATTAACAACTATTCACCCTCCCAGCCTGATCGTTAGCAACTCCTTTGTCTGTCCAACTGTCTTTCTCTCTCTTTGGGCTCTATCCTATCGTTTACTCCCTACCCCACCCACCCTCCCTATTTTCTGCATATAAACTGATGTTTTCCCAGCCACCATCAGTTCTGAGGAAGGGTCACCGGACCCGAAACGTTAACTCTGTTTTCTCCTCCACAGATGCTGCCAGACTTGCTGAGCTTTTCCAGCAACTTTGTTTTTGTTCCTGATTTACAGCATCCACAGTTCTTTTGGTTTTTGTTTTGATTGACTCTTATGTCGTCTGAAATAGCTAGGCTTGTTCCAGGGAAATGGGTAACAAATACTGGCTTTGGCAGCAATGCCCATATTATTTATTTTATAAGCACATATAATGCAAGTTGTAAATTGTTATTTACTTGGCTCTTTTCAGCTCAATCCAATCAAGGTATCAAGAAAAACTGGGATTCCCTTGGATGTTTTACCAAAAAGGAGTCTGACTGCTAAACAATTGGAGCGAATGGAAATGATTAATATCAGTGACATCCCCAGAGCCTCGACACAGTCACGTCCACGGAATGAGAGCAAAGAAGACAAGAAGGTCCGGAAACAGAAAATTAAAGGAGAAAGGAAGGTGAGGAAAATCCTGTGCTGTATCATATGGCAAGAAGATAAACTCTGGATTCTCTCCGATGAGGCTGGGGCTTTCATGGGACAGTGTCACAGAGTAGTCCCTCCTTGGAGAGTATCCCACAACCATCACATGGCAGGTTCATACTGTGTATTCCCTGATGCAACAGACACTAAGCTGCAACATGGAAATTTTGGCCATTGCAAAGTAACATTTTTTTCCTTCGTTTAAAAACATTTAATTACTTGTGTCCGTTCATGAAGATTGCTATAATAAGCAGCAATGACTCAGTAAAACTGTTGCTTTGGTTGATTCGGATGTTTCTTTCCATATTAACTATTGGGTGATATTTATTATAATGTTGTAAAAGATTCACTTTGCAATGTCTGAATGTATACAGTCACTGGTTTCAGCATTTAATGGATCCTAATGAAGTTGCTGTTGGCTGATTGTCTAGACAAAGTGACATTTTCATTGTGATGATACTCCAGCTGTGCAAAGCTTCAAGCTTAATGGGAAACTGAATCTGACACCTGGTCCCAGGATGTGTCACTTCTGCTCCCCTACCCTTTCCTTTCCGTGACGACATTTCCCACATTAGGAAACAGCACGAAAAGAGGTCATTTAACCCATTATGTCTGTGCTAGCTCTTTGAAAGAATTTAATTATTCCATTAAGTTCCCCCCCAGAAACAAAATTCTCCACCAGGGTCCTGTGACTTACTCCTTTCCTATTCATGTTTGAACATAATTATTTCTTTTCCCATCCTTTTAGGCAGCACCTTTCAAAGCCCAATTTTGGTCTTTTACCAGTTCCATTAAGTCACAGTACTGTGGTTTGTAAATGTACTGCTCCTGGAAAGGTTCTCTTCGTTTTATCAAACCCGGAATGATTTTGTAAACCTCTGTTTAACCTCTAACCAAATCCTAACTGTCTCTGCTCTAAGGGAACAAAGCCTAGCCTATTCAGTCTCTTCATTAATATTTAGCTTATTATTTAATTTGGTGATCATTGGAAAATGTGCTGCCTCTTCTAATCCTTTCTCTGTCTCTTCCCAATCCACCCTGTCACATATAGGAACGAAGACAGGAGAAAAAAGCAAACAGAAATGCATTTAAAATGGAGAAAGCAAGACAGGAACAAGTGGTGCTGAACCTGAGACAGAACTTGCAGGGAATCAAACTAGAATTATAGTATATAAGGCTTGTCCCTCTGCCACTGGACATTGGATAATGGAGAGAATTGGTTGGAGGTTCAGTTACTCACTAACAATTCAAATGAAAGGATAACATTTGCACCTCCACTGCCTCTGACCATCAAACAAACCAATGGACTTGAATCCTTTCCAAGATTCCCAAACCTGTGGCCCTCCTTGCAATGATTGCAGCATGGACCTGGATCTTTCCTCAAGTGAAACTCACCCTTTCGTCAAAGGATGAAGCTTCATTGGGATGTGTGCAGAGTGTTCTCCTTAACTCCAATCAAGTTCGGCAAGCAATGGCTCTTTCATTTGTGGATATTTATCCCACGACAGACAGTTCATAAAAAAATTTGTGCCTCTATTTATTTATGGAATGCTTTTGAGTTTTCTCAGCCAACAGGATGATCAGTTTAATTTACGTAACATTTTGCAATGAAGTTGTCCCATTGGCTATGTCTGTTTGGTTGGTTGGACAGCTGGCTAGTGACACCAACAGCATGGGTTCAATTCCCAAACTGGCTGAGGTTACTATGTAGGACTCTCCTTCTGAACCTTTACCCTCACTTGAGGTGCAGTGACCCTCAGGTTAAACCACCACCAGTCGTCTCTCCCTAGAAAGAGCAGCCCTGTGGTCTGTTAAGACTGTGGCAACTTTTCCTTTACCTTTAGTGACTATTCCAGGCAGCAGAAGATGGCCTGAGTAGGAGCTGGGCTCTTGACTTTCAGGGTTAGGTCAGGGGCTCGCTGGAAGATGTGATGCCTCAATCTGGCATGCAGACGATGCAGCGCTGCTGAGATACCGTTCTTTGAATGAGATATTTCAATTGATGCAATGCAAAAGTTATGAGTTTTTGTGAAATGATTGCAAAACTACTTACAGTAACGGTAGTGACAGCACGAAGGTGGGGGACATAAATTTATGATGATGATTAAAAGATGCAGATGGTGAGAAATATAGTGAAGTATGTCCTGAATGTGCTACCTGAAAGAATAATGAAGAGAATTCAGTAATCAGTTTAAAAAGGAAATTGGTTAAATTCTTGAATGGGGAAAGGTTTGCAGAGTTATTGGCAAAGTGCAGATAAATGGAACTAATCAAATAGATTTTTCAAACAGCCAGCACAGGTACATATGGGCTGAGTAGCCTCCTTCTGTACTGTGTAATTTGTGGTACTTCAACCTAGCAATGAGCTCCTTCTCCAGACTAGTTGTGATGTTTCTCTGTGGTGGTATGAGATGTGCAACCTCTGTGTCTTCGTTGCCTCTCCAGATGTGTAGCGAATGCAGCCAGGAGGATGAGGTACAGTTGAGCATCATCAAGCACTGATCGTAACTAGTATAAGTCAGCTACAGTAACGCATTTTAAAACCCAAACTGCAGACATTTTCCACACTCTTGTCATTTAACTGGTACCACTTCAGCATTTTGTTTGAGAGAGGAAGCAGAGCGAGTGTTGTGTTCGCGTGCGTGTGTGTGTGTGTTTCTCACAGTGCCTTCACCTCCCCAAGTCATTGCCCTCCGTGACAGGCCCTGTGCAGCACAGAGCATGTGGAAGCAGGAAGCAAAAGTTAGTGGACGGGATGTGCCATTGCCGTGCTGGTTCTGGTGCGTGAGGAAGACATCAGTGTTAGCTGTGGACCTGGTGTCACAGGGACATTTTGTTTACTCTTTTCTCATTTATCGTACAATATAGGGCAGCAATTCAGAGAATGAAGGTCCTACATGGTAGGTAATAACTTTCTGGAATTGCTCAATGGCCTGACACTTCAGATAAACTTTCAGAATCGTTTGTTTGAACTTGTAGTTTCCACCAATGACTATCTTTTTGTAAGCTTTGCAATAGCAGGAAGCAGGCAGCTGTTTTTAAAGAATCATGAGACGTGGGTGTTGCTGCTAAAGCCAACATTTGTTGCCCGTGTATATTGCCCTGGAGAATGTAGTAATAAACTGCCCCCTTAGCTACACGTGAGAATCTTGTAAGGCCTTTGCAGGTACACAAAGGCCAACCACGTTGCTATGGATCTAGAATTGCAAACAGCTCAGAACTGGGTACATTCCCTTCCCTAAAGGAACAGGTTTTACCACCTCCTTCAGGAATCCCCTTGATTTTCCGGGAATCAAAGGCTTATTCTCTTGATATTACCGTAAGCAATTAGGGGCATTAAAATAAAGTGATTTCTTACTTTCTTTCAAAGTGGTTTGTTTTGGTTGTAAAATGATCAGCAATGAGTTGAAGCAGATTGCCAACACATTCGTGAGTGACAGATAGCTTGCTATCTGCTAATGAGCAGCATGCATTAACGTTTGGAAAATAAAGTCACAGGATTCAAGTCGCAAGATTAATTTCCTTCCCCACAGCAGCAAACCGACCTTCCAGAACTACTTGCTGACACCCAACACCCCTAACCCCAGGGGCTGCCACCCACGAGGAGCCCAGCCAGGAAGAGGAAGCCAGGAGGGGTAAGGAAGGTTGGAACCACCACGGCTCGCAGCAACTGGAGAAAGAGAAGGGAACTGGTTTCTGAAAGCTGAGCCTGAACTGTAGCCGGGGAGCCAGCACCAGGCACTGAGCTATTTGGCAGCAGGAAGCCAGTTTTCCTTAATCTTATAGCTAAATTACAAAAATATATGTTTAACAAATATGTAACTGTACCAATTCATAACATTTCTCAAATGTTTTTGTAACTTGTGATGATTTTATTACTCATTTTGAGATAAAGGGCGGCACGGTGGCTCAGTGGTTAGCACTGCTGCTTCACAGCACCAGGGACCTGGGTTCAATTCCACCCTTGGGCAACTGTCTGTGTGGAGTTTGCACATTCTCCCTGTGTCTGCATGGATTTCCTCCAGGTTCTCTGGTTTCCTTCCACAGTCCCAAGATGTGCAGGCTAGGTGCATTGGTCATGCTAAATTGCCCATAGAGTTCAGGGGTGTGTACATTAGGTGCGTTACAGGGGGATGGGTCTGGGTGGGATGCTCTGAGGTTCAGTGTGGACTTGTTGGACTGAAGGGCCTGTTTCCAGCCTGTAGGGATTCTAAGAAAAAAGGTGTGTGACTCCTGGTTAAAACCCCTACATTTGATTGGATTGTTCATGAGGAAGGTGGTTGATGATAGTTGGAGAACTTGTTCATGAACTAGGCAGTTTTGATAACAATTTGGGATTGCCGTTTCTGAGATTAGCTTTTCAATGCAGATTTATTGATTAACTGAATTTAAATTCCCCTGCTGCCATAATAGGATTTGAACTTTTGCCGTTGTACCATAAGAACTATGTCATCTTATCCCTAGGTTGAGGAAAGCCAATTTTCTTTCTCTTTGCTCAATGTTGTGGCTCTGAAAAGTCTTGGATTACTGGCTGGCTAGAGTTTCTACCGCTTCTTGAGTGTGGGGTTAACGCTATATTTCTGGACTGGAAATTCACTGAATTTCTTTTGCAGAACCTTGATTCATAGACATCTGAGAGCTGGGATGATTTTCAGTCCTGAGATCCTCTTCTGAGTGGATAACTTATCCAAGGTTCTGTTCGCTGCACTTTTGTCTCCACAACAGAAAGTTGAGGCTTACTTTACTCCTGAGTAATACATCCAGGCGATTGACCCGAAAGGAGTACTGAGGGAGTACTGCATTGTTGATAGTGACTTCTTTCAGATCAAATTCTAAAAGTATGTTGTGTCCTTGGGGATGCAAAAGACTTGCATTACTAGAAGACAACTAGGGGAGTATCCTGTAAATATTAATCCTTCAACTAGCAAATGAAATCTGGTCATTATCTCATGGTTGCCTGTGGGACGTTGCTGTGTGCAACTTGATTTCTGTGTTCACCTTTAGATTCATAACATTGCTTCAAAAGTATCTCATAGGCTGTGAAACAGTTTTTGAACATCCTGAGATTGTGGAAGGTGCTCGATTAATACAAGCCTTCGTTTTGAAGGGTGATTTATTAGTGCAGTCCTTGTTGGACTGTCATGCAGGTGGTTGAGTAATTTAGGATAAACAACAATATTTAAAATTGCTTACTGTCAGAGGTGAAGTTATCCATGACGTAGAAAAATTTGTCACTCCACAACATCACCTCTTAGTTAGGTCACAGCAGAGAGTATCACGCAATTTATGTATTGTGAATATCTAAAGGCCATTCCATCTTTTCAAAGATCTATCATTCAGTAAGTATCTTACACCTCACCTTTTGTACCCTACTCTTATCTCTTGATTCTCTTAGTATCAAAATCTGTTGATCTTGATCTTGAATAGATGCAGTGATGGATCATCCACAGCTTTCCAGAATAGAATATTCAAAAAGTCCTTCCTTCTCTAAGGAAACAAAAAAATATGAGTAGGTTATTCAGCCCTTGAAATCTGCCCGATTCAATATTTCCACCATTCATTCCACCCCAATACCCTTTGATTTCTACCCTAACCCTCTCAAGTCCCTTAATTTTTTTTCTTAATGAAGCTACCAAACATTCTTCTAAACTGCGGAAATTAGGACTAATCTGTTCTACATCTCCTCAGGACAGTCCTCTTGTCCCAGTAACTAACTCAAATGAACAGCTTCCAACCACAACGTGTAGGGGCATGTTCTTGACACAATTTAAGCTGAGCTAAGAATTGAGTGGGCTCCATCTTCCTCGTTTTCCTGCTAAATGTAGCTTTCATTCTTTGTTTTACTTGCGTGCTGAATAAAAACTGTAAATAAATAAGGTACAATTTCAGCACAGGCCAATGAAAGGGAACAATGGAGGAAAATGAAGGGAAATTATTTTCATTGTTTGCCCTAGCAACGGTTGCTATAGAGGATAGCCCAGTCTGGCACATTTGAAGTGGGGGAAGAGGCCTTGAGTCAACCATCTGCCAAGAGACCTGTACCATCTGATTTGGAGGTTAAACCTCTATTACCAGGCCTAAAATGAATGTTTCTCGTAAGTAGATGTCACTGCTTTGGATATGTCAGAGTGAGAAAACAGGAACAAGTGCAGTTAGGGGCTTATTAAGAATGACAATACTGCTGACGGGAGTGGAGGGAGGGTAGATTGTTAAGAAGAAGATAGAATATTGCATTCATTCTCCTTTTGTTACAGCCTCCTTTGAGTCATGTACATCACTACATTGCTGCACTGACATCACAGTGGTCTGTTCAGATATCTATCTCGCAGAGCCACTGGGGGCCGTGAGAATATTGATTGATTGTTTTTGAGATTTTGTGTTGATCTTTCAATAGTCTCTTGTTCATTCTCAGTGGGGAACAATGATGTGGACTGGGGATAATTGGGAGAATCATGATGGTTGCCTAATGCCCATTCAGGAAGGAGAGTTACTGCCCACGTTTTCACGAAGGAGTTCGATAAAGTCCTCGAGGCTAAAGGCGTTAAAGGGGGAACAGGGTACTGAGTTGGATAATCAACTACCATCATATTGAATGATGGAGTGAGTTTAAAGGGCCGTATGGCCTACTCCAACTCCTGTTTTCACTGTGTCTATGTTTATCCAGCAAGGATTTACATGTGACTGCAGTGTCGTGACTGTTTTGGACATGCTTGAAAGGAATTGGGTGTCATCCCCAGCCAGAAGTGCCATGTGGATGATACTTCATAGGTTTTGGTATCCCAAATGCCAGGCTTCAGCCAATTAAATTTACTTCATGTTCCACAGTACAAAAAAAAACCTGGGCACAGGTGGTACAACAAAGGTTATAAACCCTGACAGCATCCTGGTTGATGAAGAACAGTGCCTTGGAACTAACTGTGGTACATGTTCCTGTTAAAACATTGATATCTACTTTAAAAATTGCTCTGCTTTATCCTATGACCAATTATAGTCCTGTCAGTCTATAGTTAATCATCAGCAAAGTGTCATTGAGCCTTTATGAAGTTCTCTGTTGCTCAGTTTGAGCATTGGCAGGATTGTTCTGTTCCAGATGTCATTACAGATTTAGCCCATATATGGATGAAATTGAATTGAGAGGTGACATTACCTGTCCTTGACATCAAGGCAACATTTCACCAAGTGTGGCATTAAGGAGCTCTTGCATACTAGAATCAATTGGATAAGAACAGAAAATGCTAGAGAAGCTCAGCAGGCCCAGCGATATCTGTGGAGAGAGAAACAGAGTTAACATTTCGTGTCCAGTATAACTTCTTCAGCATCAATGGGATTCGGGAGCATACTCTTCATTGGTTCAAGTCTTATCTGGCATAAGGGAAAATGGTTGTGGTTGTTGTCTCAGCTCCAGGACATTGCTGCAGGAGTTTGTCTTAGGCTCAACCATCTTCAGCTGCTTGATGAATGACCTTCCCCCCATCATAAGGTCACAAGTGGGGATGTTCGAAAATGGTTGCACAATGTTCAGCACCATTCACAATCCCTTAAATAGCGAAGAAGTCCATGTTGCATTCAGGAAGACCAGGACAGAATTCAGGTCTGTGTTGATAAGTGCCAAGTAACATTCAAGTGCCAGGCAATAATCTCCAACCAGAGAGAATCTAACCATTTTCTCTTGACATTTAATGCCATTATCAACACCATCCATCCCACCCCTGCCATCTACCACTCGACTGCTTTCAATGGAGGGTGTCCAGAGAAGGTTTACAGGAATGATCCTGGGGATGAAGGGCTTGTCATTTGATGAGTGGTTGAGGACTCTGGATTTGTACTGGAGAGCTTAGAAGGATGAGGGAGGGTCTCATTGAAACTTACAGAACACTAAGGTTCTGGATAGAGTAGAATTGGGAGAAGATGTTTCCTTTAGTAGGAGAGACTAGGGCCAAGGGCAAAGCCTCAGAGTGAAGGAATAGCCCTTTAGAATTAAGATGAGGAGATATTTCTTCAGCCAGTGGCTGGGGAGTCTGTGGAACTCATTGCTGCCGAGGGCTGTGGAGGCCCCATCATTGAGTGTATTTAAGACAGAGATAGATAGGTTATTGATTATTAAGGCATTCAAATGTTACAGGGATGAATGGTGGAACAAACTGGATGGACCGTATAGTCTAATCCGGCTCTTATCTAGTGGTGTTACCTTCCTGACTTAATTTTCTATCACTGTTGCTGGATCAAAGTCCTGGAAGTCCTTTCTAACAGCATTGTAGGTGTCCCTACACCCCAAGGACTGAAGCAATTGAAGAAAGTAGCTCATCACTCACTATCTCCAGGGCAATTAGCAATGGAGCAACAAATGCTTGCCCGACCAGCGAGGCCTGCATCCAAAGAATGAATCATGAACAATTAAGGGAAAGTGGATTATTCCATCTGAAAACCTTTTTTCCAGCATCTGACTTCTTTATAATTACTACTTGGTATTAAAGGCATAGGTGAATATCTGTTATATGGTGGAGGAAGGGAGTGATTCAAGGAGAATATATTAGTCATTATAAACCACAAACCTGAGGAGATTAACCTTTGGAATTCTTGCCTGGACCAAGTAGGTTGTCTTGTGGATTTATTGCATATCTCTCATTAACTTGGCATCAAACAGTCCTCTGTAGATTATGTTTTGGCTTTTTGCTTTCTCAGAACCATCAAGTTGAAGAAACAAAAACTTAGGTCACCCATTGAAGAAGAGTAGGGCACCTGATATCTACACCTCCATTTGTTAATTTGACTGTGAGCAGACACGAACTTTTGAAAATCCACAATATTTCTGCAGCAATCTTCAAGCTCATCTACAAATTACTTAGTGAGACCTTATCATACACTTTACCTGACCGTGTGCCATTCTTGTTCACCCGACACACTGTTATCCGACTACGTTGGCTCCCAGTCTAGATTTTGAAATTTTCATCAAATCACGCCCTCCTCCCTCCCTTATCTCCTCCATTTCCCCCTGACCCTGTCTATTATTTGTCTCCTCCAATTCCTGACTCTCACATCTCTCCAGTTTTCATGGGGTTACTGCTGCATAAACCCGAGCTGCTTGGGGACCCGGTCCGTTTTCTTAAAAGCTACCTCTCTCGCCAAGCTTCTCGTCCATTGTTCTAATCTCCATATGTAGCTCAGCAGCAGGTCAACTACCTCAGTTGGCTGGATGGCTGGTTTGTGATTTTTTAAAATTCAACAATATACTTTATTCATAAAATATATTTATATACATAGTCACTAAAGCCATTCAGTTCTGTATGATAGCATAAGAAGAAACAAACAAACTTGTAGAGTAACACCAGCAGTATGAGTTCAATTCCTGCATTGGGTGAGGTTACAATGAAGGTCTCTCCTTCTCAACCTCTCCCCTCGCCTGAGGCGTGTTGACCCTCCAGTTAAACCACCACCAGTTGTTTCCCTCTTTCTAATGAGAGAGCAGCCCTACGGTCTGGTAAGATTCTGGCTAATTTATTGTAGTTTTGAGTCAAATTATGTCTGACAACATTCCCATAGAGCACCTTGGGAGGCTACCATAAGTGGTTCTAAATAAATACAAGTTCTTTAACTAGAAAGTGACCAATCCAGTACTTTCAGCAAAAGTCCCAGGGAATATACATTCAACAAGTAAACTCACATGGCAAGAGTTCCATATTGGGTTTTGCCAGTTGTATGGTGTTTTTCTCTCTCATGCTATTTTCCACCCACTGTACAGGAGGCTCGCCTTGTGGAGATCTGCACTTCAACAGGGTGACTTGCCAGACCATTCCCAGCTTCTAACCCCCAGTGCCCCTGAATTCTGTTTGGTTCATGTTACTTTGCTCGCTGCTTCTGAGACTTCTGTCTCCTTTTTCCCCAAAGCCTAAGTGCAAGAGCCACATCGTGTCCATGCTTTTTCAACTTCATCCCTTACATGAGGCATGGTGACACTCTGCAATGAGAGAGCAGCCCTATGGGACTTTGGCAACTACTACACTGGCACAGAGACCACTTCAGTTACAGAGATAACAAGGTGTAGAGCTGGATGAACACAGCAGGCCAAGCAGCATCAGAGGAGCAGGAAGGCTGACGTTTCGGGCCTATCCCTTCTTCATTTTCTGCAGTTCCTACTATCTCCGAACCACTTCAGTTACAGTTTGTTTTCATGTTTGTTGGGGGAATGGTGAGTTAAATTCATCATCAAATCCCTACAGTGTGGAAACAGGCCCTTCAGCCCAACAAGTCCACACCGAGCCTCCAAGCATCCCACCCAGACCCATCCCCCTCCTAATCTACACATCCCTGGACACTATGGACAATTTAACATGGCCAATTCACCTAGTCTGCACACCTTTGGACTGTAGGAGGCAACCGGAGCACCCGGAGAAAACCCACACAGACAGTTGGGCCGAGGGTGGGATTGAACCCAGGTCCCTGGTGCTGTGAGGCAGCAGTGCTGACCACTGAGCCACCATACCACCCTTGATTTTCTTAGTTATTTTTTTCTTTTTTTTAATGATCCTTCCACAGGTTCACCTACAGAAACCTTGTTACGACTTTTGCTTCCTCTAGATAGTCAAGTTTGATCATCTTCTCGGTGCTCGCACAGTGGCACCAAACTAGGGCTAATGATTTCTACACAGCAAGCTCCCACAAGATAACAATATACAAATCATCAAATAAACAGCAGCAGTGAGAAATATTTGAGCAGGACTCATGGGACACACAGGTCCATGCTGACCAGATATCCTAAATTAATCCAGGCTCATTTGGCCCATATTCCCTCTAAACCTTTCCTATTCATATACCCATCTACATGCCTTTTAAATGTTGTAATCATACCCATTTCCACCACTTCCACTGGCAGCTTGGTCCATACACACACCACCCTCTGCATAAAAAATTTGCCCCATAGGTCCATTTTAAATCTTTCCCCTCTCACCTTAAACCTATGCCCTCTAGTTTTGGACTCCCCTACCCTGGGGAAGAGACCTTGGCTATTCACTTGGCTATGCCACTCATGATTTTGTGATAACCATGAATCCATTGCCGATTGTCGAAAAAAACCCATCTGGTTCACTAATGACATTTAGGGAAGGAAGCTGCCATCCTTACCTGGTCTGGTCTATACGTGACTCCAGACCCACAGCTATGTGGTTGACTCTCAACTGCCCTCTGGGCAATAAATGCTGCCTAAAAGTGATGCCCTCACCCTGTGAGTGAATAAAGGAAACAAAACCGTCTGTGTGAAAAAGTTGCCCCTTAGGTCCCTTTTAAATCTTTCGCCTCTCAACTCAAACCTATGGCCTCTAGTTTTGGATTTCCTCAAAACCGAAGAAAAGTCCTTGTCTATTCACCATAACCATGCCCCCTCATGATTTTATAATTCACTATAAGGTCTCCCTTCAGCCTCTGACACTCCAGGGAAAACAGCGCCAGCCTATTCAGCCTCTCCCTATAGCTCAACCCCTCTGACCCTGCCAACATCCTTGGAAATCTTTTCTGAAGAGTAGTCAAAATTATGTTGCCAGTGCATTAGCTAGGACGGTGAATTACCAATCTGGCCATATTACCACTACACCACCACATCCCGTTATTTCAGTGGATTGCTTGGAGAAATTGGGGAAGACAAGTCAAAGGGGAGGTTTGATTAAGATGTTCAAAATTATGATGGATCTGGACAGAGTAGAGAAAGAGAGAGAGAAACTGTTGCCATTGGTGGAAAAAGCAAGAGGGAACAGATTTAAGATTTTGGCCAAGAAAGCAATGGTGAATGGGAAGAAGCACAGTGAGTGATTAGGATGTGGAATGAGGTGCGGGAGAGTGTGATGGAGGCAGAGTCAGTAGAGACATTCAAAAGAGAATTACATTGTTATCTGAAAAGGAAGAATGCGCAGGGTTACGGGAAGCAGGCAGGAAATGGCATGGACCAAGTGAGATTCTCTTTCAGAGAGAGCTGTTACAGATACATTGGGCTGAATGACCTTCTCCTACACCATAATATCTGTTATCTTGTGGTATCTCTGGTGCAGGACTTAAATGCACAACCTTCTGACATCAAGAGGCAAGAGTGCAAGCTAATACCCATGGCTACTGATGGGAATGGTTTAATGAGCCGAACGGCCTTTTATGTACCAGATTCTACCACATTCTTGTTAGCCATCACAGTGTATTACAACCTTTGATCACTCATTCATTCTTGGGATGTGCACATTCCTGACAAAGCTGGTATTTACTGTTAAATTCCTAGTTTATCTTAGAAGGTAACTGAATAGCTTCTGGGTGATTTCAGAGGGGATTGAGGAGTCAGTTATATTGGTGTGGGCATGGTGTCACATACAGAAAACAGCTCACCACCACCTTCTCAAGGGGCAACTAGGGACAGGTAATAAATGCTGGCCAGCCAGGGACACACACACATCCCACGCATGAATAAAACAATTAGCACCAGACAGGGTGAGGAAGGCAGATATCCTTCTCCAGGGAGGCATTTATAAACCACCTGAGAATTTACAACAATCCTGAACTCTACATTGGAGACTTTCACCGATATAACGTTTTCTCGACAAACTGCTGGGGTGAGATTTGAACTCAAATCGAGTCCTCTGGATTACTGGCACAGTAACAATGAATGAAAAGCATTGAATTTTGATTTATTTAGCTTTCTTTTTCTTGAAAACAGAGCAGAATCTGAACCTTGTACCCTGTAGAAACTGTGGAAGAAATTTTGAGCCGAATAATCTGGTAAGTTTGTACAAGATTTGTGCATGTCTCTACGTTTGTTTCGTAAATTACCATTAAAACATCCAAAACCCTGCTGCCCAACTTAACTCACATGAAGTCCCCTTGCCCTATCATCCCCTGTGGTCCCTGACCAGGTTCATGGGTAAGCAACATCAAGATTTTAAAGTTCTTGTCTTTGTTTCCAAATTGGCCCAAAGCCTCAGATTCCAGCTATCTCTGCAAAGCCCTCCTAGTCCCATAGCCCTCTGAGATATCTATGCTCCTGTAGATGTGACCTATTATGCACCTCTAATTTTTATTGTTCCATCGTTGGCGGTTGTGTCTTCATTCACCAGAAATTCTAAACTCTCGAATTCCCTCTCTATATTTCACCCTACCTCTACCCCATTATCCTCTTTCAGCTCGCTCCTTAAACTCCATCTCTTTGGCGAAGGATTTACATAATTTTTATTCTCCTAATGTGTCTCAATGTCAAATTTTGTTTTATAAATGCCCGGTGAAGCATTTTAGGACATTTTATGAGTTAAAGTTGCTATATAAATTAAAGGTTGTTGTTGTCAGGTCATGTTCACCACTTGCTATATTCAGGGCAATTGATTTTTTTAAAATTGGATTTTATGGTGATGTTAGGGTTTGGGTTTGGATTAAGAGTTAGGATTAAGGTTAAGGTTAGGGCTAGGTTTAGGGTTAAGGCTAGGGTTATGTTTAGGGTTAGGGTTAGGGTTTGGCTTAGGGTTAGGTTAGGGTTAGAGTTATGTTTAGGGTTTGGGTTAGGTTTAGGGTCTGGGTTAGGGTTTGGGTTAAGATTTGAGTTAAGGTTAGGGTTAAGGTTAAGGTTAGGATTAGGGTTAAGATTTGGGTTAGGGTTAAGGTTAGGATTTGTGTTAAGGTTAGGATTAGGGTTAAGGTTAGGGTTTGGGTTAAGGTTAGGATTAGGGTTAAAGTAAGGATTTGGGTTAAGGTTAGGATTAGGTTAAGGTTAGGGTTTGGGTTAAGGTTAGGATTAGGGTTAAAGTTAAGATTAGGGTTAAGGTTAGGGTTAAGGTTAGGATTAGGGTTAAGGTTAGGGTTAGGGTTAGGATTAGGGTGAAGGCTAGGGTTAGGGTTAAGGTTAGGATTAGGGTTAAGGGTAGGATTACGTTTAAGTTTAGGATTAGGGCTAAGGTTTGGGTTAAGGTTAAAGTTAGGATTAGGGTTAAGGTTTGGGGTAAAGTTAAGGTTAGGATTATGGTTAAGGTTAGGGTTAGGGCTAAGGTTATGGTTAGGGTTAGTATTAGGGTTAGGGTTAAGGTTTGGGTTATGGTTAAGGTTAAGGTTAGGGTTAAGGTTAAGGTTTGGGTTATGGTTAAGGTTAAGGTTAGGATTAGGGTTAAGGTTAGGATTAAGGTTAAGGTTAGGATTAGGGTTAAGGTTAGGGTTAGGGTTAAGGTTTTGGTTACGGTTAAGGGTAAGGTTAGGGTTAAGGTTAAGGTTTGGGTTACGGTTA